GAGGTAGAGGAAGTAGTGGAAGGCAGCGGGGTCCCCGTCCCCGCAGGGCACGTGGCGCAGGGACCAGCCGAAGGCCTCCTGGGCCAGGTGGGGCTTGCGGAAGTGGGGCTGGGCGAAGGTGATGGAGATGAAGCAGCCCCCCGGGCGCAGCACCCGGCTCACCTGCGGCAGGAGAACCCCCGGGACCGGGCCGGGGGGGGCACACAGTGAGGTTCAGCCGCTCTGGCAGGGATGGCCCCATCCCCAGGGACCCATAACCTCCCCCTCCCTCCCCAGCCTCTCCCACCGCACCCCCAAACCTCCCCTCCTAACCTTGTCCCTCCCAGAGACACCCACCTCGGCTCTGACATGTCCCCAGACCACCCACAGCTTGGGGGTCCCCAGGCATCACCTCTCCCTGCACCCCAAAACCCCAGAGCATCCCCCAGACTCTTCACCCACAGCATGAAGACCCAGCCCTGGTGCGGGGAAAAGCTTCACCCCTCCATACACGGGGTCCCCCCCCAGAGAAGCACGGGACCCCCATCACATCCCCTCCCTCCCCAGGGCACCCAGCATCCCCCCCCTCCCCCCGGCAGCACCCGTCAGCCGAGACGGGGGGGCGGGTTGGATGGAAGAGGACTCGACCCTTTTAATCACCATTTTCTCCCCGCTGGAACTAAGCCCCCGCTCACAGGATGGAAAAGAACATCAATTTTCTTGCTTGGCTTTATCCAATGTCAAAAGGCTTTTACGGCCAGCGCGGGCGTGCTCGGCATGCAAAGGCAGCGCCCGGGGCGGGCGAGTGGCCAGCCCCCCCGCCAGCCCCCCTGCCCCCCCGGGCGGGGACACCCCCAGACCACCCCCCCGGCAAGGGCAGAGCTGCTGCAGCAGGGGAGCGGGCTGGGGGCCAAGGGGGGGGTTCCCGAGCCCTGGTTTAATCCTGCTGGAAAGCTCCAGGGCTCAGCGCCGGCTGGGGCCGGGGATGGAGAGGTGACAGGCAGACTGCGTGTGTCACCCCCCTGCCACCGCGGGGGCTTTGGAACCAAACCTGAGTGTTTTGGCCAGGAAAAGGGGAAGGAAGGTCCCTGCATCCCCCCCACCCTGGGCACCCAGCTCAGCATCCCTCCCGCACGGCGCTGGATGCATCCGTGCTGAACGGCCCTGTGGATTCCCGAGTGACAGGCGGGGGGGTCCCCGGGGCGGGGGGGCAGGCAGGGATCTCCGTCTGGAGCCCAGCGAGAGGCATCCCGCATCCCATCCCTCATTAATAGAGCACTAATGGCCGTTGCTTAGAGACGGGTGCAGGAAACCTTCCCATCCACCGGCCAGGCAGGGGAGGGGGGGGAGGAGGTTGGGGGGGGGCTGCTCCCCCTCTGGCACTGACCCATGGCCCCCGGATCACCGGGACAGGGCTGTCCCCAGGGCATCCCCGCAGGCAGGGCGGATTTTCAGGTCCTTACATCGCCCCCAGGGAGAGCAGGACAGAGGCCACGAAAACCTCGGTCCCCCTGAGAGAAAGGGGGTGGGGGCGAGGAGGGGGTGGGCAGCGATGGCGTGGAGGGTCCCACAAATCCGTGTGCGGGTGGGAACGCCCTGTGAACCCCCCCGGGGAGGAGGACAGTGGGGACCGGCCACGGGCAGAGACCAGTGCCCAGCGATGCTGGGGGGGAGGGCAGGGATTGAGCGGGGGATTAAAAAGGGAAAAAAAAAAAGGGAAAAGCAGGACTAAATCCCTGCTGTTTGGCCAAATGACAAGGACAGCGAGCAGAGCTGCCAGGGCAGGGCAGGGCAGGGCCGGGCCCCCACGGCGAGGACACCCCCCCTGCCCCCAGCACTGGGGGATCCTGCTCCCCCCGGGCTCAGGGGGACAAGAAAGGACGGGGGACAGTAGCGACGAGCACCCTCCAATCAGCCCACGGCCCCCCCCAGGGATGCCGAGCGGATGCAGCAATTAATTACCCCTGCAGTCATTCCCCGGGGGTGGGGGGGCTGCCAGGACCCACACCCCCCCACCGGGCTCAACCTAGTCCCTGCCTCCGCCAATTAACAGGGCCGGAGGCATCGCCCGTCCCCGTGGCAACGCCATGGCCTGGTCGATGCTGACGAGGGTTGCCATGGCAACCCCAGACCAGAGGATGGGGACCCTGGCTAACGAGATCGAAGCTGGGGCGGGGGCAGGCCTGTCACAGCCCCACGGTCCCCACCTTGCCCTGGGTGGGCAGGGTCACCTCAGCGTCCCCCCCCCAGGTGCCCCCCGGGTGCCCCTAGAGCCACCCACGCCAGGACGGCGCCCAATTCCACAGCCAACCCTGAATATTGAGTGTGCAACTAAGGATGGGGGTCACCCAGCCCCCCAGGCAGCACCCAGCCCCCCAGGGGGACACCCTACTCCATCCAGCTCCCTGGGGAGGGGGTGATGGGGTGGGAGAGGGGGTATCTCACCCCCAAAAGGGCTGGGAGCCCCCCAGGTGCCCCTTTGCAGGGTAGCACGCACTGGTGCTGGGGGGCAGAGGGAGCGCCTGGAGCACCCCCAGGGAAGCAGGGTGTCGAGGGGACGTTCCACACCCCCATCCGCCCCGAAGGGGCACGGTGTCCACCCTCTCCCCCCTCCCCATACCTCTGCCAGCGCCCGGTGCATGTCGGCGGCTGCCCGGGGCGAGACGTGCCAGGGGTCGGTCTCCTCCGCCATGAAGACGTCGAGGGTGCCCTTCTCCAGCACCACGTCGAAGGCGGCGTCGGGGAAGGCGAGGGCGCGGATGTCCATGACGGCCCAGCGCAGGCGGGGGCAGCGGGCGTAGCGGGCGCGCATGGCGGCGATGCAGGCGGGGGAGAAGTCCACGCTGGTGACGTCGGGGTAGCCCCGCTCGTGCAGGTCGTGGCTCAGGGCGCTGTTGCCACAGCCTGCGCGGGGCAGGGGCTCATCGGGGTGCCCACGGGGGCACTGCCCGCACCCCAACCCTGCTGGTGCCCCATTCCGGCCTGGGGAGCTCCCTCAAGCTAGAGGGAGAGCGGGTCATCGCCTTGGCACTAATTAGTGAGTGCTGGGCTGGTTCTTAATTGCCCCCCTCCTCCAAGTGCTTTGGGCTCCACAGGATGCGTGGAGAGGGGAGCCCCCGCGTGTTGGATCCACCGCCCGTCCGGGACACGGGGGTGCCCGTGGGGAGGCAGAGAGGGGACCGGGGGGGGGGTCCCCAGTGTCCCCCTCCCAGTGCCGTGGGGCAGGACCGGCCGTGCCCCCCCGGAGAGCCTGCGGTGGGGCAAATCCGGGCAGCGTCTTGGGGGGGGGAAGGACTCACCCGGGACGGAGGCACAGGCGGAGGGGTGAATGTCCCGGGGGGACCCCGGCAAGACACCGCCCCCCCGCCCGCCGCACCCCGGTGTGGCAGGCACGGACCCCCCCCGCTTCCCTTCCCCGCTCCCGGGGGGGGGGGGGGGGGGGCGGGGGCTGGCTGTTCCCCCCCGGCCCAGGCCGCGGAGGCTGCGCGCCCACCGCCGCCTCGGACCCGCAGCCTTCC